GGCATTAAAGACTCTAATTTTAGCTCCTGCGTTGCATTCCAACTATTTGACGATTTTCCCGGAAGAAGACTATTTTGCCACGATGGACTATTTCATTTTTTAAGTTTTTTATTTTATGATTATTTTTTGTTATTAGTAGAGTGAAGGGTATTTTAGTTTTTTTGCAGGTCCACTTTATTTACATCCTACCTGAGTGTGATTTTGAACACAAAGCATATTATTTGCACACTTTTATAATTACATCAGTATTTTTTTTTTTTTTTGACTTCACCTAAAGTATCTTCTGCAATTTACTTTAAATGGGACCTCGTAGATTCCCACTTTTTTTTGTACACATGGAAGATTGCATTTGTTCGTACGACACGTGCCCCACCATTAATTTTTGCTTTATAAATTGTTTGCTGTAAAAGATTACATGCAATGTTTTTTTACTTTTATTTTATCTAACTCGAATTAAAAAGGAATTTAACTTTAGGTCAAATTACGCTTATATATCTCATAATTAAATTAACCTCTCCTGTGTTTTCTGAATTATCGATGATCTGTCTTAAATTTTTTAAGTACCGTTGGCTTGTCAATCTATGAAGCACGGACACTCATTTTAGGGCCCCGTACTAGTGTCGGATACTTTTCGAATACCGACACCCGTGTCCGACATTTCTGTAAAATGTCCAAATATTATTTTTTATTGGACACGCGTGTCTGAGGCTTGGATATACGGTCCGACACTTCTGTGAGACAAAATTTATTTTCTCTCACTCTTCTCAGTCTCTCCTCTTCTTCAATTATCTCCCTTCATGAACAAGATATATATATATATATATATATATATATATATATATATATATAAAAGTTACATGAACAAAACTTTGTGAAAGACTGAAAGTATATATGTTTATTCATATACATATTTAGTTCATTATAATTATGTCTCTTCTGCACATCTTCGTTTGAAATTTGGATCAACTTTATTTTTTATTTATTTTCTGTTTTGTCTTGTCTATATTTTTCTTATAACATAGATGAAATTATTGAAATTGATTCTGTTCTTTGTTGTTTGTTTTATTTATCTGTACAAGATTCTAGTAATTATATTTTGAATATATAATTATACATATATATATAATTTTATAGACGTATCCCCGCTGTGTCCATGTCCTATTTTTTTGAAATTTGTCGTATCGCCGTATCCGTATCATGTTATACCTGTATCCTGTATTCGTGTCTGTGCTTCATAGTTGTCAACAGTGTTGATGATGGATATCCTTCGGTTGGTTGATAATCAATAGGGTTGGTGATGAGATTGATAATGTCAATAAATAAAAAAATTTCAAAATTTAGAATTATCCTGAAAAATATATATTTACAACAAGTCGACAATCAAAGAAAACTATGTTTCCTCAACTTCATTCCATAACTCATCAATAACATGGATTTTTTAATTTTTGTAATTGATTAAGTTATGAAAGTTGATTATTATTTAAATTTACTCTAATCATAAATAAATAAAATATTATTTAAAATATAAAGTCTTAGTTAGAAAAAAGCATAAGAGTGCAGCTTAGAGTAAAGAAATTCACTATATTAAAGAAAAGTTATACCAACTCGGACCTAGACTCATTATTGAATTACTTTACCAACATCTAGCAATTGAGACCATCTTAAGTTACTCCTAGTTATCAACTCAAATACCGAGTTCAATTTTTATTACTTGACTACTATAAATTACTCCATTTGTCATACAAAATGTGTCCACCTTTCAAGTTTTAACAATCCCAAATAAAAAGGAAAAAATTAGAATATTACTCCAGATAATAATTGAGAATTCAAACTTGATTAGAAGTAGGATAAAGTGCAAAACCCAAACTTTACTCTCTTCCCCATAGCTTTTTTTTTTTTTACCAGAAAACTCCTTAAACTATTCTAATTTTTGTAATAAAAAAAAAAAAAAAAAAAAAAAACCGACCTACACTGTTCCGTTAGATTTTGGCCGAAAAGTAGTCTTGTGAATAAAAAATGACAATTCTACCCTTATTGAATCTCTACTCACACGTGTGTATTAGTATATGGAAAGTTGTCCCAATTATTTATTGGACAAAAACACCCCTATGAAATCTGTCAACTCATTAAAAAATGAGGGCATTCATGTAATTTACATCTTCACGCCATTGCCAGAACCAACTTCGCCGCCCTCCGTAACCCTAAACGCCGCCGCCGTCGCACGAGACCAACCTTGCCGCCATGCCCACCCCCACAACCGCCGCCACCAACACTTTGTACAATCAACAACTCTCTGTCTCCTTCATCCCATCTCCGTACAGATGTGTGACAAGACGAAGAAGGCAACGAATCGGTGAGGTGGCACTGGACGCCGCAAGAGAAAATGGCGAGGCGGCGCTGGGCGGTATAGGGAGGAAAACGAATGAGTTAAGAGCACGAAGGCGGTGGCGGACTCGATTTTGGCCTCCGTGAGGTGGTGCCGCTGCATTCTAGTTTTGGTTCTCAACGAATCGGCGTCGTTGATAGGTGTGCGTTCGACAGAGATAATGGTGGTAGGGGTGGGGAAGGTGGTGGTGGTGACGTTTTTGGTTTTGGGTGCGGATGGTGGCGGCGGTTATAGGGATAGGAGTGTTGCCACCACATCTGTGTTGGTGGTGGTGGTGGTGGTGCCGCCACGGTTGGTTCAGAGGGCATGAGAGAGACGATGGTAGTTGGGTAGAGAGTTTATGAGATTACTTAAATGTCCCTATTATTAATGATGCGGCAATACTTAACGTAGATATTTTTGCCTAAAACTAATAGTGATAAGGCATTTATCACAATATTATTGGTTGATGAGAACCCTTTTATTAAAGGGCAATTTTGTAATCTAATATATTTGGTGTGACGAATTTGAATTTTGTTAAATAGTTATAGAATTTTTTGAAAGAGAGAAAAGTATATGGGGTTTATTACATTTTATCCTTAAAAATATGTTGTGATTTGAGTGAGTATTTGCTTCAATTTCGAATTTCATTAGGTGCATGTCTTGAGTTTGAACAGAAAAGTTTGGATTTGTTTGGCTAAGTAAAATCCAAGTAAATCCCATTTGTCTGTCCTCGGTAATTTCATCTTTTAAGTGTTTTTTAGTAGAGTGAAGGGTATTTTAGTCTTTTGGCACATCCCACTTTAATACTTTATTTACCTGCCACTAATAAGTTCTTTTTTGTTCACTTTACGTACTATCTGAGTAAGATTTAAACACAAAAAAATATTATTTGCACAATTATAAAATTAAAGGAAATGTTTTTTCTGCATTTTACCGCTTTATAGACTGACATCTTCTGTAATTTACTTTAAAACTCCTTTATGAGACTCGGGACCTCTTAGAGTCCCACTTTTGTTTTTTTTGCACACACTTGGTAGATTGCATTTGTTTGTACAACACGTGTCACAAAGGGCACCGTTAATTTTAGCTCCATAAATGATTTGCTATACAAGTTTACATGCAACTTTTTTACTTTTGTTTGATCTAACTCGAATTTAAAACGAATTTAATTTTAGGTCAAATTACATTTATATTTTCTGATATTTCTCATAATTACATTCACCTATCCTGTGTTTTCTGAAATGTCGATGATCTCCCTGTACGGTTGGCTTGTCAATAATGAATAATATTCCTTTGGTTGAGAATCAATAGGGTCGGTGGTGAGATTGATAATGTCAATAAATAAAAAAATTTCAACATTTAGAATTGTCCCGAAAAATATATATTTACATAAAGTTGACAATAAAAGAAGACCATGTTTCCTTAACACCATTCCATAACTCATCAATAACATAGATTTTCTTAATTTTTGTGACTGATTAAATTATGAAAGTTGATTATTATTTAAGTTCACACTAATGATAAGTAAATAAAAATTAATTTTTAAAAATATAATGTCTTAGTTAGAAAACGTCAGAAGAGCACATTTCAAAATAAAAAAATCTATTATATCGAAGAAAAGTTACACCGATTCGTACATAGACACATTTTTAGATTACTCTGCCAACATCTAGTAATTGAGAGTATCTTAGGTTACTCCTAGTTATCAACTCAAACACGGAGTCCAATTTTTATTACTTGACTACTATAAATTACTCCCTATGTCACACAAAATGTGTCCCCCTTTCAAGTATTAATTATCTCAAAACAATAATCTAATTAAAAAATTAATATATTATTTTTGTAACATTATCAATTTAGTCTTTTTAGATTGAATTTATAAAAAGTAAATCATCACACCACCTTGACCCATTATAATAGATTTGGTAATTCATTTACAGCTAATGAAAAGAAAAAAAAAAAAAAAAATCTTAAAAATTAAGTTACTCTAAAATAAGATTGGGATGATGATTGAGAATTCAAACTTCATTAGAAATATGTTGTGATTTGAGTGTTTGTTTGTTTTAACTTCGAATTTCATTAAGAGCATGTAGTGAGTATGACGTTTCTAAAATATATAGTGTGTGTGTGTATATATATATATATATATATATGTATATGCTTCACCGCTGTACATGAATGACTGCTTTTATAGTGGTAAATGAATGGCTGCTTTTATGGGAACGCCGTGGGCTTCAACGGACCACATTTCCACAAATTTGGTTCACGCAACTTCCATTTTACAAACAAATTACGGCACCACAACCCTCGATGGACAGATGCTGACCGTTTGATCAAAAACCAATCAATGCCCGACTTCCTCATCTGTCAACTCATCCCAACCGTCCATTTCACCTAAAAAAACAAAATCAAGGTTTGAAAGTGTTTTTCACTTTTTAGGGAAGTAGGTACTCAAAACTCAAAATCATGTGGAGGTTTGAGAGGCAAGTGTAGATATATAAACCAAACTCAAACCTCACGTGCCAGCCTGCCCTGAAGTTGTTGGGACTCATAGGAAAGGTCTGGCACGTGATTCCCAGCTACCACCAATTGGTTATCCATTTACTATAAATGGTACCTTGAACCACATTTTGTAATGTACTCACTTAACTACTTTTGCTAGCAGCTGGTTCTTGGCATTTACAGTCCCACAACAAGTTCCAGTTAGCTGCTGCCTTATACCTCACCTCACCGGAGAAAATGGTCACCGTCGAGGAAGTCAGGAAGATTCAGCGCGCTCAGGGTCCGGCCACCGTCATGGCGATCGGGACTGCCACTCCTCCCAACTGCGTTGATCAGAGCACGTACCCGGATTACTATTTTCGTATCACACAGAGCGAGCACAAGACCGAGCTCAAAGAAAAATTTCAGCGCATGTGTAAGGATATATGACTCTCTCTGTGTTTTCTTGTTCCATCTCTTGAAATTGTTATTTTCTTTTCAATCACCATCTTTGTATTATGGCACAATTGCATGCAACTTTAATTTCCGTTTGATTATATTTTCTAGGAAAATGATATAAATTCGAAAATAACTTCCTGATGTGAGCGAGAATGAATGAGTATGCCATTTTTCACTAGCATAAATGTAGTTGATCGTAGTGAAATACATATATACACACACACACACACATATATATATATATATGCTATATATCATAACTCTAGCCTATTTCATAGAGGAAATGAGCCTAGAGTTTCGGTTTGTTTATCACGGGTTGTGTCTTACATGTGTAACTATGGCCACTCAATTAATCTTATACCTAATTTTGGAAAAAAAAGAAAAAAAAAATCTTTATCACGAGTAGACCAATTGGACCATTATTTTTATTATTGTTATTATTTTTGTATGACAGTTTCTAAACTTAAGAATTTTTACTGGTTAAAAAAAAAAAAAAAATTTAAAGTGTGGATTATAAAAAAATAATAATAATAATAATTAAAAAGTGTGGATTATGGATTACTTTATTTCTTCTCAACTCTGTATGAAAACTCTTCTCAACAAACACTAGAATGGAGGTTTCAGTGTTATGGGGTCCAGAGATATACTTGTTACTTTTCATTTAAGGGAGTAAAATATTTTAGATTGGGAAAATTAAAAACTTCAAATCACATGTTATGTCTTTAGATTTTCCATTTCTTGATGTTGCTCATTTGGATTGAAGAATTTTTTGATATGCCGAATTTTCTAGTTTTGGAAATTGTGGTATTTATGACACAAAACCTTGCGTGTGTAATTCTATTTCATTTACCCAAAAAAAACTCTTTTTAAATTTTTTTTTCCCCTAAATGATTTCATAACATAAAAATAAATTTTCCTCATTTTCATTGAAAATTTTCACATGTCATGTTTGTATTGTTTTTGAAATTGTCTCAATTATGTTATAAATACAACACTTCATTTTTATCTTATTGATTTGAAGCATTTAAGCTTTTTTTTTTTTTTTTTTTTTTTATGAACCGAATTATTATTTATTTATTTTTAAAGAAAAGAAAAAGAGTAGTAATTAATCACCCGTCAACAATTAATTTTATTTTAGTAAACAATTAATTTTCTAACCATTTTTGTACGATGTATTTCAGGTGACAAGTCAAATATCAAGAAGCGTTACATGTACCTAACTGAAGAAATTTTGAAAGAAAATCCAAATGTCTGCGCTTACATGGAACGCTCATTGGATGCTAGGCAAGACATGGTGGTGGTCGAAGTCCCAAAGCTCGGCAAAGAGGCGGCCCAAAAGGCCATCAAGGAATGGGGCCAGCCCAAGTCCAAGATCACCCACCTAGTCTTCTGCACCACCAGCGGCGTCGACATGCCCGGCGCCGACTACCAGCTCACCAAGCTCCTCGGCCTCCGCCCCTCCGTCAAACGCCTCATGATGTACCAACAGGGCTGCTTCGCCGGCGGCACTGTGCTCCGCCTCGCCAAGGACCTGGCTGAGAACAACAAAGGAGCTCGTGTGCTTGTTGTGTGCTCAGAGATCACTGCTGTGACTTTCCGTGGGCCCAGCGACACCCACCTCGACAGCCTCGTGGGCCAGGCCTTGTTCGGCGATGGGGCTGCCGCGATTATTGTTGGGTCGGACCCAATCCCTGAGGTTGAAAAACCATTATTTGAGTTGGTCTCCGCGGCCCAAACTATTCTACCGGACAGCGATGGTGCCATCGATGGACATCTCCGCGAGGTGGGACTGACCTTCCACTTGTTGAAGGATGTTCCGGGGCTCATTTCCAAGAACATTGAGAAGAGCTTGGTGGAGGCATTCCAGCCCTTGGATATTTCAGATTGGAACTCTATTTTCTGGATCGCTCACCCCGGTGGGCCGGCCATTTTGGACCAGGTGGAATTGAAGCTGGCCCTAAAGCCCGATAAGCTACGGGCCACGAGGCACGTGTTGAGCGAGTATGGCAACATGTCAAGCGCGTGTGTGCTGTTTATACTGGATGAGATGAGGAAGAAGTCGGCTGAGGAAGGGCTCAAGACCACCGGTGAAGGGCTGGAGTGGGGCGTGCTGTTTGGGTTCGGACCGGGGCTCACCGTCGAGACAGTGGTTCTCCACAGCCTGTCTACTTAGAGAGGCCCATTGTGGAGTTTTAAAAAAAAAAAATATTTGCATTGTTTTATCTTTAGTGTGCGAAAAGTCTATAATGTTGGGTGCAGTTATTGTGTTTTGCTGGGTTCCACTTTGTTGACTGAATTCAGATTGAGATGGAACTGCAACTTTGTTTTAATAAAAGTGTTTTATAATGTCAAAATGATAGATTTTATTTTTATTTTTATTTTTTTTTGGCTTTTGGCATTTTTATTATTTAAAGTCTTAATTTATTTTTGCAAATTCTGAAATACCTGTATTGTGGATTTTTTCCCCCATTGCTATGATATAATATATGAATCATATGCTTATAGAAGAATAGTATAAAAATTAATTATTTTTTCTCTTTATGTACTCCTCCTTAGCGGAAGATATAATACTTGTACTTCTAATTTAAAGATTTTTATCTTCTTTTTTCTTTTTCCTTTGATGTTATTGTCACCGATATTATTATAATTATTATTTTGAAATGCGACGAGTGTATAGAGAGGCAAGTTAGTGCATGGCTCATTCTCTTCCAAACTCAGAAATTGTTAGATGGTTGGCCTCTTTCTCCTCTTATGGACTAGGACTGTTGGGTGAGCCTTCTTGTTTTCTTGTAATTTTGGTTTGGGTCTCTGGTTGTTAGTTTGGGTCTATTGGCCCGTTTCTTTTGTTTGGACTTGTGGCCTGTTTGGGTACGCCTTTATAACGAAATTCAAGGTTCTGTATGTATGCTTTATTTTATATATAGACTTATCATTAAAAATAAATAAAGCTCGGGCCTTAGATTTAGAATTGAAGAAAATTTAACAAAAAGTTTGAACTAAATTTTCTTCAATCCCAAATCTAAAACACTAATTCGATTATCTCAAACATAACATAAATGTTAATCATTGGCTTAACTAGTTAAGTAAATATAATGATCTCACAGAGGTGACAGAAATATTTTAAAAATGCTTTTTATATTTTTTATTTTTTGGTCTTTCTGATTATGATGTACTTCGCAATACATAAATCTCTCTCTCTCACACACACATATATATTTGAAGAGAAAATCACTCGTCCATTTGTCTCACACAAGGTCTTCAACTCTCATCTTACTTTGAATGACCGAGAAAATTAATATCACATATATAACTCTTTTGTCATAGTTGTTACTGCTCTTGTTGTTGTTACTAATATTATTATAACTGTTAGACTAAAGTAATAAAGTGCATAAAACCTCGGCAATTTGAAAATAATCCCCTAAACTTAAAATAATACTAGTAATTAAAAAACCCTTCAACTAAGCAAAATGTACAAACATGGCCACGAGGTTAATAATCCTTAATGGAAAGCCAAAATTACAATCTTACCTATACATCAAAACCAGGACGCCTTTGCCTATTCATGGGCTATCTTGCTTATGTCTAAAATAAAACCTCAAACCGCAATGAGAATTTGACACCTCAACCCAACATTATCTACAAGCAACATTTATCTCGATTTCCAGGCCTTTGTTAAGGTTAGTTTGGTGCCTTGATAAATTTACATTGCGGTGGCCCCTACTTTGAGGCATTTTAAGGTTTTCTACCAATTTGGAACAAAAAAAATCACATTTGGTGAGGTGATGAGTCCTATTATGCGATGTTATCACACTGTGTTTGAACGTTATTTCATATAGTTCATCACTCTTAGTATATAAATTAAATTCGATAATTATCGAATTCAAATTTTAAATTATTATTCTAAAATTTTTGATAAGTGTATTAGTACTACCTTTACTTTGACCTTATGGGGTTGTTTTAGATGGACAGAAGATACTGTTGATACCAAGAGGGGAGGGATGAATTGGTTTACAAATTTCTTATTCCTGTTAGGGTGAAAGTTTTCAAGCTAACTAAACTTGGTGCTAGTGATTAATGACCTCAATGCAGCTGAATCAAAACGGTCTCAGTGAAACCCTAGAAATCTCCAACTGTTTGATGAAATGTGTGAGCTAAAAAATACTTAAGGTCACCAAGGATATTTTACAAGGAAAATCTCCCCGGAGATAAAAAAAATCTTGGAGTTGTGGGAACTCACCCTCAATCCACCATGTATGCTCAAGAGGTTACAAATTCGGCTGACTCACTCTCAGCACAAAACCTTACCAACTTTATTGGGTATAGTTACTGTTTTGCTTGGTTCCACTTTGTTGACTGAATTCAGATTGAGATGGAACTGCAACTTTGTTTTAATAAAAATGCTTTATAATGCTAAAATGATAGATTTATTTTTTGGCTTTTGGGCATTTTTATTATTTAAAGTCTTAATTTATTCTTGCAAATTATGAAATGAAAAATTAATTCTTTAATCTTGTCATAAAATATTGTGACGAATTTCATTGTGAGAACAAAACAAATTCGTTGTAGTTGTAATTTTAAGTTCAAATTTCAAGTTGTTGGGACTTCGTCTCATAGGAAGGTCGGGCACGTGATTCCCAGCTACCGCCAATTGGTTGTTCCACTTACTATAAATGGCACCTTGAACCTCATTTTGTAATGTACTCACTTAACTACTTTTGCTACCAGCTGGTTCTTGGCATTTACAGTCGCACAACAAGTTCCCAGTTAGCTGCCGTATACCTCACCTCACCGGAGAAAATGGTCACCGTCGAGGAAGTCCGGAAGATTCAGCGCGCCCAGGGTCCGGCCACCGTCATGGCGATCGGGACTGCCACTCCTCCCAACTGCGTTGATCAGAGCACGTACCCGGATTACTATTTTCGTATCACACAGAGCGAGCACAAGACCGAGCTCAAAGAAAAATTTCAGCGCATGTGTAAGGATATATGACTCTCTCTGTGTTTTCTTGTTCCATCTCTTGAAATTGTTATTTTCTTTTCAATCACCATCTTTATATTATGGCACAAATGCATGCAACTTTAATTTCCGTTTGATTATATTTTCTAGGAAAATGATATAAATTCGAAAATAACTTCCTGATGTGAGCGAGAATGAATGAGTATGTCATTTTTCACTAGCATAAATGTAGTTGATCGTAGTGAAATACATATATATACACACACACATATATATGCTATATATCATAACTCTAGCCTATTTCATAGAGGAAATGAGACTAGAGTTTCGGTTTGTTTATCACGGGTTGTGTCTTACATGTGTAACTATGGCCACTCAATTAATCTTATACCTAATTTTGGAAAAAAAAGAAAAAAAAAATCTTTATCACGAGTAGACCAATTGGACCATTATTTTTATTATTGTTATTATTTTTGTATGACAGTTTCTAAACTTAAGAATTTTTACTGGTTAAAAAAAAAAAAAAAATTTAAAGTGTGGATTATAAAAAAAAAAATAATAATAATAATTAAAAAGTGTGGATTATGGATTACTTTATTTCTTCTCAACTCTGTATGAAAACTCTTCTCAACAAACACTAGAATGGAGGTTTCAGTGTTATGGGGTCCAGAGATATACTTGTTATTTTTCATTTAAGGGAGTAAAATATTTTAGATTGGGAAAATTAAAAAGTTCAAATCACATGTTATGTCTTTAGATTTTCCATTTCTTGATGTTGCTCATTTGGATTGAAGAATTTTCTGATATGCCGAATTTTCTATTTTTGGAAATTGTGGCATTTATGACACAAAACCGTGAGTGTGTAATTCTATTTCATTTACCCCAAAAAAAACTCTTTTTAAATTTTTTTTCCCCTAAATGATTTCATAACATAAAAATAATTTTTCCTCATTTTCAGTGAAAATTTTCACATGTCATGTTTGTATTGTTATAGGAAATTGTCTCAATTATGTTATAAATAAACACTTCATTTTTATCTTATTGATTTGAAGCATTTAAGCCATATATATATATTTTTTTAAAGAACCCAAATTATTATATATTTATTTATTTTAAAAAAGAAAAAGAGTAGTAATTAATCACCCGTCAACAATTAATTTTATTTTAGTAAACAATTAATTTTCTAACCATTTTTGTACGATGTATTTCAGGTGACAAGTCAAATATCAAGAAGCGTTACATGTACCTAACTGAAGAAATTTTGAAAGAAAATCCAAATGTCTGCGCTTACATGGAACGCTCATTGGATGCTAGGCAAGACATGGTGGTGGTCGAAGTCCCAAAACTCGGCAAAGAGGCGGCCCAAAAGGCCATCAAGGAATGGGGCCAGCCCAAGTCCAAGATCACCCACCTAGTCTTCTGCACCACCAGCGGCGTCGACATGCCCGGCGCCGACTACCAGCTCACCAAGCTCCTCGGCCTCCGCCCCTCCGTCAAACGCCTCATGATGTACCAACAGGGCTGCTTCGCCGGCGGCACTGTGCTCCGCCTCGCCAAGGACCTGGCTGAGAACAACAAAGGAGCTCGTGTGCTTGTTGTGTGCTCAGAGATCACTGCTGTGACTTTCCGTGGGCCCAGCGACACCCACCTCGACAGCCTCGTGGGCCAGGCCTTGTTCGGCGATGGGGCTGCCGCGATTATTGTTGGGTCGGACCCAATCCCTGAGGTTGAAAAACCATTATTTGAGTTGGTCTCCGCGGCCCAAACTATTCTACCGGACAGCGATGGTGCCATCGATGGACATCTCCGCGAGGTGGGACTGACCTTCCACTTGTTGAAGGATGTTCCGGGGCTCATTTCCAAGAACATTGAGAAGAGCTTGGTGGAGGCATTCCAGCCCTTGGATATTTCAGATTGGAACTCTATTTTCTGGATCGCTCACCCCGGTGGGCCGGCCATTTTGGACCAGGTGGAATTGAAGCTGGCCCTAAAGCCCGATAAGCTACAGGCCACGAGGCACGTGTTGAGCGAGTATGGCAACATGTCAAGCGCGTGTGTGCTGTTTATACTGGATGAGATGAGGAAGAAGTCGGCTGAGGAAGGGCTCAAGACCACCGGTGAAGGGCTGGAGTGGGGCGTGCTGTTTGGGTTCGGACCGGGGCTCACCGTCGAGACAGTGGTTCTCCACAGCCTGTCTACTTAGAGAGGCCCATTGTGGAGTTTTTTTTTAAAAAAAAATATTGGCATTGTTTTATCTTTAGTGTGTTTAGAGTCTATAATGTTGGGTGCAGTTATTGTGTTTTGCTCGGTTCCACTTTGTTGACTGAATTCAGATTGGGATGGAACTGCAACTTTGTTTTAATAAAAGTGTTTTATAATGTCAAATGAAAGATTTTATTTTTATTTCATTTTTTGG